TTTTTTGTCTTTTCTAGTTCTTCTGAGCAGAAAGAGCCCCCTCATGCAGACCCCACGTGTTTTCCATCTGCTTCAACATTCTTGCTCTCCTCAGAAAGCATGCTTTCCTCCAGCTCACAGGAACTTTGTGTTCACAGCCCGTCTCTGAGGAGTCGGATGAGTTCTTGTTTCTGGGTGAAACAGGGCTGCAGACTGTTTRTTGCAGCAGACGTAACGTTGGAAACATCCATATTTGCTAATTATTTCCATTCTGGATTTGGGTCCAAAGCTATCAGAGATCGGTCTGTCAGAAACATCACGTCTGAAACAAACCCACCACTGAGCTGGTCAAAGGTTTGTCCTTCGATTTAACGTTTAAAACTATTAAAGCTGCTTTAGAATCTGACTCTAATTTTAATGGWTTTAAGCTAAAACCAGCAAACTTCACCAAATCATCCAGTTTAAATGGGAAATGTCCAAAACTCTGGTTCTGTAGATGAAAGTTAGAGTTCTGAGTTCTGTCTCCACCTGAGCACGGTTCTTTTTCCTGTCAGAAAAAAGATGTTTTAAAGAGTGGGAGGAGCTTAAACTTAACTTATTAGTCTGAATTAACACCTGGAGCTGAAGCATCGATCAGATTTTTCTTTGATGTCAAAAAGCTGTGAAGTATTTAAGATTTATAAAGACAGGAAGTGAGACCCTGTCTCTGTGCAAAAGAAACCAGCAGCTTCAAAAAAGAAAAATATAAGTAGTTCCTCTGGATGGTTCTTCTTTAGTGAAACGTTTCGTCTCTCCTCCAAGAGACTTCTTCAGTCTGATGAGTTTCAGGTGAAATTATAAGCACTGCGTCCACCTGGACAAACAGGTTAGTCACATGAAAAAGAGGGGCATCGACTGACAATAGGCTTGATATCAACACAAAGAAGGAAAGAGGGACAAAAACAAGGGGGACTTTGAACCCCCGCTTGCATTCACTGCATTCACATAACACGACATGGGTCAGGTGATGGGGCACCTCTATGAACAATAGAGCTAATCAAGCCTATTGTTAGGCGATGGCCCTCTTTTGCATATAACTAACCTGTTTGTCCATGTGGAGGTGGAGTTTATAAGGCTGAGATCACCTGAAACTAGTGATGGGATAAATGGCTCTTTGATGGGATCTGGATCTCAGGATCTCGTTTGTTTCATAGAGCCGTTCGATTTTGAACGAGTTACGTCATCACGTATGGCGACGATGACGTCATCACGTATGGCGACGATGACGTCATCACGTA